GACATTATTCTCCAATTCGATCACTTCCTATGCCAAAAATAGGTCTCAATATAAGACTAAAATACCGGAGCATAATTTTTCGGTTGGAAATTGATTTGTGATCGTCTTTTGACTAAATTTGATCCCCTTTACATCTTCCTTTATCCAATTGACTCTGAGCACTCTCGAATCTTCATCGTGAGATTCAGTACAACTTTTAAGTATTTACATTTTAGCCCCCAAACTTTGGATCCCTTACAATTTAGAGGAACTAATAGTGGCAGGATAGTAAACTTCAGAGTCAGGACAAGAGGAATAGGTAGAGCAGGTAGGCCAAGTGAAAACAAAGGGCCATGCCAAATTTGTGGGTTAACCAATCACACTGCAAGCTGGTACTACAATAGATATGATGTTTATGGGAAACGAACCTAGTAATCAAAATCAGCAGAACTTTAGCTCAACCCCTGCTGCATAAATAGCCTCATCAAAAACTTTCGAAGACTTAATGTGGCTTGCAGATTCAGGTGCAAGTAACCATGTCACACCAGACAAAGGTAATCTGTTGAGTATTCAGAAATATGAAGGTAAGGAGAAACTATCTGTAGGTGATGGAAAGTGTTCGAGAATTTCACGTATTGGAAAAGGAATCATTTCTTCATCAAATGATAAAACTCTTGCACTAAATAAACTGTTTTATGTACCATAAATTAAAAAGAATCTAATTAGTGTTTCTCAGTTTACAAGTGATAATAATATATTCATGAAATTTTACTCTGATTGTTGTATGGTGAAGGATCTGGAAACCAAGAGGATATTGTTATAGGGAGTGCTTAAAGATGGGTTATATCAGCTGATGTTACCAAGTTCGAGTTCAAGGTTCACAACCAAAGAGTCAGACAATCAAAATAATTTCAACTATCTTGCTGTAAGTTCTAGTTGTTAATAGTCAACCAAATGTGTCAAGCTACTAGAGTCTGAAATTGAAGTATATCATATGAGGCTAGGTCATCCTTCAAATCATGTTTTAAGTCGAGTCCTTAAGTCTTGTAATAAACTCACCAATGCTAATGAAATCCCAACTTTCTGTGAATTCTGTCAAATGGGACAATCTCATGCATTGCCTTTCAAAACATCTACATCATATGCTTTAAGTCCATTGGTCCACACAGATGTTTGGGGCCTGCACCATTGAAACCTACCTCAGGGTTTAGGCTCTATATTATCTTTGTAGATGACCACAACCGATTCACATGGATTTACCTATGAAACATAAGTCTGAAGCATTACATACCTTTATTCAATTCAAAAATCTAGTAGAAAATAAGTTTGAAAAGAAGATTAAAATCCTTCAATTTGACTGTGGAGGAGAGTTCAAGAATTTAATCAAATTGCCTCTACAGCTGGGATAGAAATTAGACATTCTTGCACCTATACTTCAGTGCAAAACGGTTGAGCAGAAAGAAAGCATGGGCATATTACTGAAACCGTATTAACTCTGCTAGCACAAGTACAAATGCCTCTATACTACTGGTGGGAATCTTTTAAATCAACAACCTTCCTTATAAACAGATTGCCAACCCCGGTACTCAATCACAAATTACATTTTCAAGTCCTGTGTGGAAAAGATTTTGACTAGAAGTCCCTTAAAACATTCGGTTGTGCATGTTATCCTTACCTTAGACCTTACCAAAGATACAAACTCAGCTTCACTCACAAAGAAGTGTGTTCCTCGGCTTTGGCGACTCACACAAAAGTTATAAGTTCCTAAGCTCTAATGGTAAAATCTATGTTTCCAGGCATGTAGTCTTTAATGAATCAGTTTCCACTTTTAAGTCTGGTTTCTTAAAGAAAATTTCTAAGCCACCAAACACTCAAACTGCTGTGAGTCCCCTTCCATTTAATAGTGAGTTCAGCAAATACCTCTTATTGCAGCTGATGTAACTCATTCTGATGCACCACCTGCAGCAGACTCATCTGGTAGAAAACCAGGTCCTAAGATGGAAATTGAGATAGGATATGACAATGGCAATGAAGGAGAATTTGTTCAGGAAACCATTGATACTAATCAAGGTGAAATTGAAGTTCAAGATGTGGGAAATGAGCAAAACGCCGAGAATCAAAATGCAACACAGGTTG